TTTTGGTTATTATTATTTTTGAATTGCTTTTGTTGTTTGTTTTGTGCGTTTTTTATTATTGACGTTCATTGCGGCGCATCAGTTGAAAATTCGGAAGTAATTTTGATGTTTGGTGTATAAACGTATGTAACACACTTAAATGGTTGAGTTGGCGGGAAGCTGAGCTTGTGTTTGTTTGTTTGTTTTTGTGTATATGTTTGCCACTAGCATTTATTATTTAAGTTATATATGTTTGTACATATATATGACAACAGGCAGGCATATGTTGCAAGTGTTTTAACTGCCGGTTGCATGAACATTAGAAATTTTGTTGCTCTAATATATGTATGTACTACCAGACGAGTACATACAACCATACAGATTGTCTGCAGGTTTGCCATTTGTTGTTTTTGTGTTTGCTTGTTTTTTTTTTTTGCTTTTGGTAAACCCAAACAGTTAATATAACATTCATGCTCAGTTAAACAAGTAATTTGCGCAAAATTAACCAAAATGCTAACGTAATTTATGATTCATGCAATCAAACATTTGTATGTATGTACCCGTATGCCTAGTAGGCATAAATGGCATACACTCATTGTCTGAAAATTCACCGTAGCACACATACATACGTGTATGTGCATACAATACATAGGTGTGCGCAAGAGTAGCTGGAAATAATTCACAATTAAATATGTGGGAATAAACGCACCCAAAATTCATGCATTTTCCACTCAGGCCAAACACCCGCGCTTCAATGCGCACACTCACGTCACATACATACATATGTACATATAATTACGTGTGTATGCAGTGCATGCTGTGTGAAGTAGATTTACATTATTATATGTTTGTATGCATCTAGCCATTTTGACTACTTTGCACACGTCCGAAAGGTGTCTGAGTGTTTGTAGCTGCAAAACTAGTTTCTGTTAAGCAGCAGCGGAGCGATAGGAAAAACAAAACCAAAAAAAATATACAAAAAAAATTAAGTTTAAAAACAACAACAGCAAGAAAACGACGCATTGAGAAAGACACTGAGTGATGGTTGGTGTTGAAGGCAAACTTGATGGTAGAAATGAAATGCATTCTTGATGGCTTTTTCAAAAAATATTTGCTTTTCGTGGCTCTGTGTTCATTGCATTGCATTGCATTGTGTGTGTGTAAATGCAACATTTTTCGACTTCTATAAAATATTAGTTTTAATTTAACGTCATAAGCTCACATGTGCTTGTGTGTTAACTTGAAATTAATTTGTTTAAATTTCGAAATTTTTTCTATTGAGGAAATTTCAGTTTAGTTAAATTTAAATAACTTTTAAATTGCTACCCTAGCATATTAAAGTTGAAAAGTATTTAATGAAAGCGCATAAAAGTTGTCTGAATAAGGTTAACAAGGTAAATTGCATTCGTGTAAGGTCATGCATTGAAAGTGCGGTATTACAGCCAGATACTTCGTCACCATTTTTTTGGGCTATGTGTATGTAAGCTCTTAAAATACTGTTTGAATAATTTTGGAAAAATACTTTGGAAAAAAATTTGAAGAGATAATTCGAAAAAAATAAAAAGAGGGAAAATAAATTTGAAAAACCTTCAAAAAAAAGTATTGATAGAGAAAGTTTATAAAAAAATTTTGAAAAAGAATTAAAAAAAAATTCAAAAATGAATCGAAATAAAAAAAATTGATGAGTAAAAACGTTTCAAAAAAGTATTGAAAACGTAAGTTTAAAAAAAAAAATTAAAAAAAAAAATTAAAAAAGAATTAAACAAAATTATAAAATAATTGATGAGTAAAAAAACTAAAAAAAAAGAATTCAAACAATATTTTGAAAAGAGAATCGAAAAAAATTTGAATCACAAAAAAATTTAAAAAAACTTGTAGAAAATAAATTTTAAAAACGTTCAAAAAAAGTATTGAAAGCGAAAGTTTTGAAAAAAATTAAAAAAAAAGTTTTGAAAAAAGAATTAAACAAAATTATAAAAAAATTGATGAGTTAAAATTTTAAAAATAAATTTAAAAAAGGATTTGAAATATTAATCGAAAAAAACTTGAGTAACAAAAATTTTTGAAAAATATAATTGGAGATAAATTTGGAAACATACTTTGAAAAACACTTAACAAAAAGGAAAAAAGATTTGAAAAATTTATAAAAAAATGTTTTGGAATTTTTCAAAATTCTTTGAAAAATTTAATAAAAAATTAAAACTAATTTCAAAAGAAAAATTTTGCAACAAATAAAAAAAATTTGAAAAAAATCTAGAAAAGATTGGAATAGAACTTGAAAATATTCTGAATAAATATAAAAAAAAAAAAGCTATAAAAATCTTTAAAAAAATATTGAAAAAGTTTTAAAATAAATTAAAAAAAAGTTGAAAAAATATTTCAAAAATTGGAAATAAATTAAAAAATTTTTTGAAAATTGAATTTTTTACATTTTGAACTTGACAATTCACAGACACCTAGAGTATACGAGAAATCCGGGCCTCAATAAGAAAAGTTAACAAATATTTTGTTCCGACAAAATTGCGTTATTAACTAAAATATCCCGTAGATAGAGTCCATAATCAAAGCTCTAATTTATCCTACTTTTTTCAACCGAGAGGCCCAATTTTCGAACACTTTTGCTGCAATGGGTGCTGATTCGGCTACACATATATATACCCAATTGGTCCTCTGCAGGGCCAGTTTGTTCAGCTTGCTGTCGCTAATGCGTGCAGTCCGTCAGCCAGCACTTTCGGAAAATTCATTATAAATCGTTTTTAGCGTCTTTTATTGTGGCCTGGGACCGAGCCTACAGCTGTTATCACGATTGTTTTTCAAGTGTTAAACAAATTGCCGCAAGGTAAAATATTGGAACATTACAAATCTGTCCTAGGAATATTTTAGGACGCGAAAAAAAATGCAAGAGTTCGGTGAATGGTGCGAATTTTCTTACAGAGTTCAAGGAAGTATAATCTATTCAAGCCAATCGGGAGAAATGGGGCGCTATTTGGCCGAGATCAGCGAATACTCATCATATTTAGATAGAATCCTATCAGGTCTCGCGGCTAGATTGGCCGCAATTTTGTGAAAAAACTTCAAAAAACTGTGACCCAGAGAGAAGTTGGCAAAAGAGCCAACTTTACTTTATAAAACGCGATTTCAGATGAGGTCATATTGTATATTCTTGAGGCGGTATTTTACATCAAAGGCTTTGCTCGACCGACACTTTATATTATCTCGAGTGAATAGCAGAGACTACATTCAGGTACTGGCCTCCTTCCTTTAGTAGTGGTTTACTAGGAGGTGCCATACATTTGCCAAAAGGATAACGGCCGCATTTATGTAGGAAAGGAAACGAAGCTCTTTTTTACCGCTTGCTCCAGAGAAACTCTCTCCATTTAAACCACCCAGATAACGTGTGGGCGCATATTAATGTGAAAGTTTTTTACAAATTATGGTCCAATTGAAAGATTAAAGATGAGTTTAAGGCTGCAATTGTACCCGAACGGTCAAACCTGAGTGTCAGTATTTTAAAGAAATTTACGGAATCGATAAAAAAAAAGATGTTTTAGTGTTGTAAGAGTCAATAGATGCGGCTATGGGTTATTCCTAAGTTAAAACCCATGGCAAAAAAATCATTTTGAACCATGTGCAGAAGGCTGGATACAAAAACAAGTTTGATGTTTGGGTGCCGCATAATTTGACACAAAAAAACCTTCTGGACCAAATCAACATCGCAGGCGTGCTGCTGAAAACGGAACGAACTCGAGCCATTCTTGAAGCGGATGGTGACTGGCGACGAAAAATGGATCACATACGACAATATCAAGCGAAAACGCTCTTGATCGAAGGCCGGTGAATCGTCCCAAACAGTGGCCAAGCCGGGATTGACAGCCAGGAAGGTTTTGCTGTGTGTTTGGTGGGATTGGAAGGGAATCATCCACTATGAGCTGCTCCCATATGGCCAAACGCTTAATTCTACCATCTACTGCGAACAATTGGATCGCTTGAAGCAGGCGATCGACCAGAAGCGTCCAGAATTGGCCAACAGGCAGGGTGTAGTGTTCCACCAGGACAACGCCAGACCACACACTTCGTTGATTACTCGTCAGAAGCTACGGGAGCTCGGATAGGAGGTTTTATCGCATCCACCATATAGCCCGGACGTAGCGCCAAGTGATTACCACCTGTTCCTGTCCATGGCGAATGCCCTTGGTGATGTGAAGTTGAACTCAAAAGAGGCTTGTGAAAAGTAGCTGTCCGAATTCTTCGCAAATAAGGAGGGAAGCTTCTACGAGGAAGGTATTATGAAGTTGCCGTCTAGATGGAAACAGATCATCGAACAAAACGGCGCATATTTTAACTAAATCCGATCACTGTAACACTTTTTATAAAGCATTGAATGAAGAGCAAAAAAGCGGAAGGGAGAAATTTGACAACCTATACAATCAACTACAAAAGAATTAATTAAGGAGCATTCGCCGGTAACAGTTCTGTGGGGTTGAATTCCAGGCGTAATTTTTAGCATAGAACAGACAGCAATGCATCCTATTGATATCCTTTTTGCTTAAAATATCACCGTTAAATTAAAAAAGAAATATTTTCTTCTCTTTAACACTCGCCTACATATATTTGTTATGAAATTTGAAAAATTAATTTATATTTTTACTAAACAAATTATGCAAAAATCCATTGTGACAGCATTTCACTTGCAATATGGTAAAAAAAATGTAAACAAAATGTAAAATATAATAAAATAATTTATTTAAAAAAAATTGTACGCTTGTCGTCAACCCAAAAACTATTTGATATATGTATTAAGGTCAGAAAAGATCATATTCACCAGAAACTTATGTACATACACACATAAACATGCGACACTCGTTTGCAAGCTACACGCGCAACATATAAGCGCATAACCAAATTATTAAATCCTTCTCACGCAATTATGCAATTTTATATTTGTTGTGATGCAATTAAATGTTAGTTTTTTTTATTTATTTATTTTCTGTGGAAAAAAGCGTGAAACAGTGAATACTTACATTTTTAGCAGCATTTTTGCTTTAATTTGTATCTGTTGGTGTCGTTTATTTTGTTTTTGTGTTTTTAGTAAATTTTGTGCACTGAATATTTGATTATCAATTCCTTTCGCTGTTCAATATTCAATATTCGTATCAATATATGCGTATGTACATATATACACCGGAGCCGCAATCAAATGAACACCTGCATGTGCAAGTAAAATGAAATGGGAGCTAAAAAAGATGTTTTACTTCTTAATATTTTTAGTTTATTTTTCGTTTTTTTTTGTGGCTTTTAAAACGAAGACAACAACACACATAGAGTTCATGTACACAGTTTAATAATCATTAGATATTTTTTCAATGTTTTTATTTTTAATTTTTGCTCTGTCTATTTGTCCGCTGACTGCATTGTTTAGCTGTCAAATATTTTGCTCAATCGTTTTGCGAGGCTTTCACTTTTCACTCAAAAATAATAAATAAATAAAAAATTATAAAAATAAAATAAAATATCAAAACTGAATGCAAAAAATGTTTTTTTTTTGGAAATTCGTTGATTTAGTATTTATTTGGAATTTTCGTGCAGTTATCGCGCCTTTTTAATTAATAGATAAGTATGTAGTTTTGCGAAAAAAAAAATTTTGCTGTTTATTGTGCTTGCATTCAAATTCGGTATCGTGTGCGTGCAAATGTTGTTGCAGCTTTTAGCTGCTGTGGCGTAGCTGATTTACGTTTATTACTAAATACCATTCAATAACAGTTTAAAGTACGACGTTTTCGTGTTTATTAAAAGTGTAAAATAATGGAATGAAAACATGATATAAATAAAAAAAAGGAACCCACAAAAATGTTTATATTAAAATAAATGAAAATTAAATTAAAAATCATATAAAATGAGATAAAATTCATTATCCAAAATAAAATGAAATAATAAATAAAAAACTAACTCAAATGAATCAACATAAAATAATATAATACTTTATAAAATAAAAAATAATATATAAAAAAAGAAACAAATAAAGTATAAAAAATAAAACGAATTATATTATATTAAATAAAAAAATAAACTGAAAATAAAGTAAAATGGAATGAGTTAATATAAAATAGTGTAGAATAAAATTATTAAGAAATAAAAGAAAATATAGCAAATTACTAATTTAAAAAAATAAAATTTTAATATGTCAAACATTAAACAAAATATAAAAATATATAGAATGCAAGTAAAATTATAAAAAAATTCAAATTAAATAAAATAAAAAAATAAAGTCAATAAAGTTGATAATAAAAAAAGTTAATTAATACTCAGATAAAATTTTAAAAATATATTAAAACTAAATTTAATAAAAAAATAAAATATACAAAGCGTAAAAAAAAGTCAAACAAAATAAAATAAAAATCAAAACGAACTATAGGAACTTATAAAATGAAATGAAGCGTTAAAAACTAAATAAAGTAAAATAAAATGAAATTAAATCAAATTAAATAAATAATATTAAATAAAAAAAGTAAAATAATATGAATGAAATAAAATAGTATAAGTTAAATCAAAATAAAAATTATTTTGAAATAAAAAAATAAGTAAAACAAAAAAAAAATTAAATTAAATTAAATGAAACAAATTAAAATAAATTAAAAAATTAACAAATTAAAAAAAATTGCAATAAATATAAAAACAAATATAAGGAATAAAATCAAGAAAAACAAGAAAAATTTAAAAATTAAAATAAAATAATAATAAATTATTTATTAAAAAATAAATAAAACAAAAAAAATAAGCAATAAAAAAATTAATTAAATAAACAAAAAAATAATAACAAATAAAATATAGAGAATAAAATAAATAAAATAAAAAATTAACAAATTAAAAAAAAAATAATAATAAATAATTTCTTAAAAAAAAATAAAATAAGAAAAGTTAAATAAGTTGCAAAATAAATAAAATATTAAATATTAAATAAGGTAAAGTAAAATACTATTAAATATAAATAAATAAAATAAATTATAATAAAAATAAAAATCTTAAAATACAATAATATGAAAGAAATAAAACGGTATCAGTTAAATCAAAATTCTATTGGTTTAAAATTAAAAATAAAAGAAAGCAAAACAGATTCAAATAAACCAAAAAATGAAATCAATTAAAGAAAAAAAAATAAATCAAATAAGGAAAAATTAATTGAAAAAGAATTAAATAGCATAAATTAAGAAAAATAGAAATAAATCAATTAAAAATTAAGTAAAACAAGAAATTGAAATAAAAATAAATAAAGTGAAATAAAAAAAGTTTGAAAAAGTAAAATATTACAAAAAGTTTATTTAAAATAATTTTAAACAAAATAAGAAATAAAATGAAATTAAAGTAACATAAAATAATTAAACAAGGAAAGAACTAAACAATTTTTTCAAAATAAAATTAAGAATTTGAATAAAATGAGAAAGCAGAAAAAAGTTAAACTCGAAATATCAAAGTAAAGCAAACTAACAAACTTTTACTTTAAATTTAGAAAAAATAAAAAAATTACAAAAACAACTAATTGAAGATATAAAAAAAATTAAATATTAAATAAGTTTGCCCAAAATAAAATTAAACTAAATAAATTTTTGATTAAATTAACTTTTAGCAATTTAAGGTAGCACAAATTGATTCACAAAATTATAATGAAATAAAATAAAAAAAGAATATCATATAAAAAAAAATTAATTAAGCTTATTAATTTTGAGCAAAATAAATATAATATTAAAAAAAAGAGGGAATTAAACTGATTTAAAATCCTTTAAGTTAAAAAAAAACTTTAACTAAACAATGGTGAAAGGAATTAAAATTAGAGAAAAAATTTAAAACTACTTTAATTAAAGCAATAATTAAATCTAATAATAGAGAAAGAATAGATTAAAAAAATCACAGAAAAAAGAGAAAAAATAAAATATTTAGTAAGCGAAAAAGTAACAATCAGAAAACAATTTCAAGAAACTAGTCAATTTTAATTTTTTTGTAAACTTTTTTAATAATAAAACTAAGGAAGAAATATTACTAAATTTTTTGATATTAGTTGAAAAAAAGGAAAAATGAGAAAAAATTTATTAAAATATATACTTTTTAAATTTGAATTTTTACAAAACCACGCTTTAAAAGTGTAAATGGGAAAATAATAATATAAAATTATAAATTTAAAAAACTGAACTACATTTTTTCAAATAAAACTAAGCTTTTGCAACAAAAATTGTGAAATAAAAAAAAAATCACGACATGAGAAAACAGTAATAAGAAACCAATTTAAAAAATAAAAACAAAATTGTAAAGCCAAAAACGAAAATTTTAAGAAAATAAATAAAATGGAAAATAATAAAAAAAAACGAAAAGCACAAGAAAATAACTAAAATTTTCAAAGTGAATATAGAAATTGAGAAAAATAAATCGTAAAAAAAATATAAAAAGTAGCTAAAACTTAAAGCCCAGATTAAATTAATTAAGAAAAGATTTAACAAAAGAGATCCAAAGACTTTTTTAAAAACTTAAAAAATAAAATTGAAGTAAAAAAATAAATACAGCAAAAAACACGCCGTAAATAATATAATATAAAAATTATATAAAAATTTTGAAATGAAGTAATCTGCCAAAGCAATTCTTCAAAAATTTTAAATTTCCTTGAATTCAAACACAATAACTGTAAGGCATCAAGCGTGCAACACATTCTTTTTTTCAACATCAAAATCACTTCACGCTTGCTTTGTCCATAACTGCTATGGCTGCTGTGTTTGATGGACGTTGCATTCCAAGGTAACACGCAGACAATAAAAAAAGTACGAATACTTAGTTTGAAGCACAAATAAATTCCAACTATAACAAAAAAAAAAAACAGCAAAATCACTAACGGCAGATCGTACGTAGTATTGTTTGTTGCTGTTGTTGTTGTTGTTGTCGTATTAAACAGAATAACTGACTGACTGACTGACTAGCGAATCGAGCACTGAAACACTTCACGGTTATGCGCGCACTTAACAATCACTTTTGGTTTCGTTGCCAGCCGAGCAAGAAATGGCCAAATGATGAGCGTACAAAGCGCTGAAGACCCCGAAATGACGATTAACCAACCAAGCGCTGGCCGCAGCAAGCTTGCCGAAACTAGTCTCAATGTGAACTTTTTGACTTAAGACCAACGACGGCGTCTTAACTGTTGTTTTGTGTGTAAGAATGATGACTTACTACGACAGCGGCGACGTACAGTATGGCTAACTGCTTGGGAACGGGTGAACTGGCGAGCTGTAGATTGAAGACTGAAAATGACTGTTAAACGAACTGTAGGTTGTAGGCTGTCAGCTAGCTCTGTGCTGGCTGCTAACTGTGTAAGCTGCGCCTGTTGTCTGTTGTCTGCTTGGTGCCAATAACCAGTGCACAGACAGCCAGCAGCAGCGCTAACAGCACAGTGGGCAGCGTAGTCGTGATCGTAGCTCAGTAGCGCCGTAAGTTGAGCGGTATCTTAGCTGTGTATGTATATGTAAAAGTGCGCGTAGAAGAAGGAAGTTGACTTTAATGAGCACCAATGAGTGACAACATAGCCGATTCGTGCTTTACGAGCGAGCAAACGAGCGCAATATGAGCTTAATACTCACGGCGGCGAACTCCGGCAAGTGGCAGCAGGCGAGAGCAGCGTTTGATTTAAGGCGCGCCAAGTGCTTAATAGTTGCGTTTTTTTTGTAATAATCGCTTCAAGTTGTGCTCGTAGCTGTTTACAGTGCCATTTCCATTTTTTCTGCTGCCGGTTATGCGGTCATAAAATGTGGCAGGCAACAATGTCATTGGAGTTTGCTCTACTGATTGTCAATTTGATATTGAATTGGTGCAACAATTATACATGCAGATGCATAAAATACTAGTGAAATGCCATAAATGTGAAGATGCGATTATTCGGTTAAACAAATTTATTAAAAATGCGAAGCCTGAAGTCTTGAAAACGAAACTTTAATTATTGAAAATTAAAAAAAATATTTTAATATAACAAAAAAAAAAAATAATACAAAAAAAATCGAACAATTTCTCTTCACATATTTAACTTTTAATTCAAATTGATTTTTCTGTAAAAAATTAACGTAATAACCATGACCCTGTCGGTGGTTTAGTTGCATCCGAATGATTAAAGCATTTTTTTTTTTTTTGAAAACTATTATTTTTGTTAAAATGCAATATTTCATTTCGCCAGGAAAGGTGCATTAGGAAACTAAGCTTTGGATAGATTTCGGACTACTGATCTTTGGCTAAGTGAGCTATGTTTGCTCAGTTTAACCTCATTGCAGCTTCAAAATCTCCGTTTTAAAAAATAAAAAAATTTTTAACTAATGTAAAGTATAAATAAGGCATTCCTGTGACAGAGTGTGGCTAAAATCCAATAGTTCCGGCAACAGTCCGGCTTTTAAACGAACGAACTGGAACGTCACAGATTTTTATCCTCCCAAGGACGCTCGCTAGGACTCAATTAAGAAAAACGGCTAAACAATCCCAATAATGAATTTAACAAAATTAAGTAAAATACATATGGCATTTAGTTAGAAAAAAGGTGGCAACACTAACCCAACATTTTTTTCATGAAAATTAAAGATATATCCATTTTTTGTTATACTTCATTTGCTCAAATTTTTTTATATTATTTGTTGGAAAACATCTGGCTACCCTATAATAAATGCTGCTTATTAAATTCAACAAATTTGAACACTGAAATAAAAATATCTGTCATAAAAAACATTTATTGCCAGAGATTTTAACCAGTTTTGCTTTTAATATGTTCTTAGAATGACTGGCAACTCTATCTCAAAGAATTTATTTTCTTTACTGACTTTTTTACCAAATGCTTTTGGTGTTTAACTAGTTTCTATTATTTTAATGGGTTAACTTAATTTATAGTATATAAAACATAAATATGTGCAACCCTACCACAAGAAGGCATCTCAAAATTGTAAGATAGTCAAATTTATTATTAGTTGGCAACCCCAAAATTGGCTATGTAAAGATGAGAGCTTTCTGTGATTTACTTCCAAAACTTTATTTATTTAAAAAATAATAATAATTGTATCAACACCCGTTTTTCTGTACTTGACTTGCATGATATTTTGAATCTACGTAATTTTAAAACTGGTGGGAACTCTGCGCCAAATTTTTAATTCTGAGTTTATGCTTAAGCTTTCATTGAATTACCATATTCATTCATACATTCAGTTAACTTAATTAACAGTTAATTTTTTTTTAATATTTATAATTAAATGGCAACCCTATCTAAAAATGTTTACTATATACTCTTAGCATATTTTTTTAAAGCAATATTAAATTGTTTCACTTTAACAATGTCTTTTTTTGGCTTAGTATTTTCTAATTTATCAGCAGATGGCAACCCTATCATAATCTGCTAGTTATACTAATACATCTTGCGCAATTGCTTTACTTACATATATGTGTGGGTAGTATGTTCGGTTAATTTAATATACATATGTTAGTACGGTATTTTTTAAAATATATGTATACGGCAACCCTGGCTAAAATATTGTTCCCGTATCTATATATTAAATTAGTTATAACTAATAACTTCTCCGTAGTTTGCTATAATATTATAATTGTTTTTTTTTTAACTAGTGGCAACCCTATACAAGCCAACTTTAGCTGCTGCACATACTCTGGCTTATCTTTCCATTTGCTCTTAGCCGAAAACAAATAAATAAAATGGGGATTTCAATATTCAAGTTTTTTTTTTAATTTGAAGCAAGTGGTAACCCAGCTCACAAATTTTTTCTTCTACTTATTTTCCTTGAATTTTGATTATAATATATTAGAAGTGTGTCAAATACAATATTTTAAATTTCCTCTACTACAGACTGTTAATCTCTGACAGTATTTTGAACATTTTCTGCGAATAAAAATAAAACCAATAAATAGTCTACACATCTTCAAACTTAAAATTTTTATATGTAAACAACATTTGTATACAAAAGACTTAAGCAACGAACTCGACGATTTGCATTGACGCGCGAATGACAAACTGCTGCCGTTGCGCTGTTGCTGGCCCGTGGCTGCAGCTGATCGCACTGGAAGTTCTCTTTGTTTGTTTTTGGTGAATAGCAAAAGACTTAAGCAACAAACTTGCGCATCTCCATATATGAAAATTCATATTTACAAGATTATACGCTTGCATCGCACTCACCAGCAGCAGCGGCAGCTCCCTTGAAGAAAGGGAATTAAATGGCATGACATGAACACATCTGGTAAATAAATATAAAAAACAAACAAACAAACGCGCGCACTTGGCCAATATTTATCAACTCTAAATGAAAGTAAACATTATGAGTAGCGCGAAAATAGCTGCGACGTTGCGGAAAAAAAGAAGAAGAAGAAGAAACAAATGAAGAAAAATGACTGGAATGGAAATGTAAATAAAATACGTAAACAAATATGTGCGTAATGCAATAGTGACACGAGTTTTGCGCTGTAGTGTACACACATACATACATATATCACATATATATGTACACATATGTAATTATGCATGTTTCGCTATTAATGTTGTATGCTTATACTGCTTATACGGCCCCTCTAAGGTCACGCTCTGTTGACTATGTGTTGCCTCGTCTTGTCTTGCATATTTTTCAGTTCAAAGCGGCAAAGTTTAATTCGTGTTGTGGCACTTTAACTTTGCGCAGTAGAAGCTACAGCAGCAAGAGCGGCGATTGAAATGGAAAGTTATTATTTTGAAGTGTTCACCTTTAGTAGTTACTGTAAATGCATTACCAATAAAGCTGATTTTGACTGAAAGTTGGTAGAATGAGGGAGGAGGCTGAGCATCGACCGCAGCACCTTAGCTATTGGGAAGGGTTATGGTGCTTCCCCATGTCAGCTAAATATTTGCGAACAGTTCACTCGATTTTTTAATTGTTTTGTCTTCTTCCCACCATTCTGTGTCCACCTCCGAAAGATTGGATATGGGATCACAGTGATTGATGTGACGTTTCAATGGGCTGAAGGCCAGACAGGTGCAAAAGTAATGCTGCAACAGTTCGCTATCCTGAGCTCTTGCTCTGTACTCGCCTGTTCTACTCGTGGAGACCTTGTCTCAGATGCAATAAGTGTTCCTCCGTGGTCCACTGGCTTAAACAACATTCAACAGTTATGCGTATGAGTCCAATTAGATCGTGACGACGGCTAAAAAATTCTTTCAAAAATATATTTTTTTTATTAAAAATTCTTTCCTTCAACTAAAGTTTAAAAAAAAAAAATGATTGAAAAATATGTTCCCTAAATTTATCCGTGTATTATCGTAATTTCCAAAAGTGACCCCATCTCAAAGAAATCAAAGTTTAAATACGAAATAAATATTATCTCAATTTTCCAACGAAACGATATGTCGCCTCACTGAGAGCTTATCCGTGCACCTGAGACAGCAGTCATTAGAGAAGTGATCGATCCTTCTACGTCTCGTTCTACGTCTCCATCAGAAAGTGTTTGGCTATTACACCGGTCGTTATGCTAATGGATGTACTGCTAGAACGGGTAGAGGCTTAGTATCTCTCTCTTTGATAAATGACTAGATTGCCTGGTTATTTGCTAAGGGCCTTATTGGTGAAGGCTGATCTTGGCAGATACCTTTCACAGAAGAAAAAGGTGCGTCCACATCATGACGTCAAGTTGTAAGTCATCGGTGAGGATCTTTGATCCAAGAAGAAGCTACTATACTGTGCGTTTTTTGCTCATAACAAAAAAATAGGAAGACTCCGTTATACACAACCTTTGCCAATGTCTAGTCTTATGGACCACCCGGTATAAGTTTCATGATTAATATTGCTTCACGTTTTTGAGTAGGTTATGCTTTTCTCACATGATCGGCAGTCGTATCAACTCAACTCACCACTCAGTTCAGAAACTTCAATGGAGGAGAACAGAAGAAAGCTCGATATCATGATGCCTCGAGCGGACGACGTCAATTTAAGTCTGCTGGACGCCGGTTTCGTCTTAACCACAAAATTTGTCACCATAATGGAAGTTGTCGAAGAACTTGCTTTTTAGCACATTCGAGAGCAAAATATAACAAGAATCTAGAACTTGTATTT